GTTTTGAAGCGCGTAACAAACGCCTCGGCCAGCTGATGCCACCTTTGTATGCTCCCTTCCGGCAACCTCTCGAACCACTTTAAGCCCAGCTCGCCTAAACTTGACGGGAAGATTAGGCACATAAGTCCGTCATTGCGCCTATGTCCGGCCATAACCTGTCGGAAGTGGCTCACATGCATATATGGATCGGTTTTTCCGTCGTAAAGTGTGAACTTTGGCTGGTGGAAGCCTGTCGGAAGCGGTGTTGTTTCTATTTCCAGGGAAAAAGGGGTGGCACCCAGCCTAGCCAAGTCTGTATCTTCAAAGAGTGGCGCTGCTTGGCGGGGTGGAGGCATTCCGACCTCCTCGCTGGCGTGAACCCTGTAGGATAGCCGCTGGAAGGCAAGTATTCTCTGAGCTTCGCACCGGCGAGCCCGCTCCTTTAAGACCGCCCGTAAATCCTCCGACTGAGCAGAGTAAGAGTACCTCGACGTCGTCACCGGACGTGAGGGTTTGTAGGTGCTGTCTTGCGCGCTAGACTTTTCTGCATGCACGTCGGAATCACCAACCTGGTAACTTCTGGTAATAGATATGGACTGAGTACGTCGCTGACTCTGGCCACCTGAACGACGGGATGGGGTGCGCTCACTGTGGTCCCCCACTCCAGCTACACCCTTCCCTTTGACATGCCGCTTCAGATCCTCCATCTCCGCCACCATTCGCCGGATGACAGCATCTTGGTCTCTCAACTTACTTTCCAGTCGCCTGGCGTGTGAGTCTCTTTTCCGCCGGTGACCGTCTGGACTCCGCGAATGGCCATGACTTCTTCCGCGCTTATCCCGCGCGTCTACTAACTGTCCTCCAGTGGGCGTCCCCAAGTCCGCCATTGGATGGATGGCGGGAGGACCTTCTCTCCTTCGGGTGAACTCCAGGGTAGCTCCGTCTATGGCAGACAACGGAAACTCGTCGTTGTTCGCCATGGACGGCGATCAGATGAACCTGGAAGACAAGGTTTTGTCTGTCAAGCTTCCCACAGACGGCGCCAGTTGTACGGGGAGCAAATATTCCGGCAAGCCCATACTCCTTTCTTCCAAACTCCGTTTATGTCCGATCACCTGCGCGCAAATAATGGGGAGCTACCCGGCGGTGTGTGGCCGGAAAAACCCTCTGACGATCAAGTTAGCACACACCTTAGGATAGGGAGAAAGAGGGAGAGAGGAGTTTAAGTGTAAGAAATTCCTTACAAAGTGTTCATCTGTCGCGTATGGGGGGCGCAGACATGCTTATATACCCTCTGTGCCCCATATCTACTCCCAGTCATCTCCTGACACGTGGCTCCGCTATCCCATCTGTCAGCATAAACCTTGCTGAACATCACCTAATCTCAACTGCCTGCCATCATAGCTGGAGCTCGGCAGCCGAGCTGCTCTATCTGTTGCTGTGCCGTGCCGTGCTTCATACCCAAGCACTTCACCGGCTAAGACCAAGGAGGACCGGGCTAGGCGGCATCTCGGCAAAGCCTAGCCCGAGGCACCTCCTGTGGTCAGCCTTTCTGCCGGTCAAACAGTTACCTCGGCTGACCGCGCCTTTCCGGGCGCCGGTCACTCAGCTTGTCTGGCTTCGGCCATCCCCTGATCGAGCAGCTCGGTCCGACCGAGCACTGCCTTGCCGAGCAGCTTCTTTACGGTCTGGGGCGGCACACACTCGGCCCAAGTTCTGCCCCGCCTAAGTTCTGGCAGCCCATCTCTGGGCGGATAGTCGATCATCTCGGCCCCATGCACCGTTGGGCTCTCAACCTGCTCGGCCGTTACCTCGGCCCAACTCCAGATCATAAATCACCCTCTCAGTTAGTAACGCCCTGAAATAATAACAACAACTCACATCATAATATTCCATAGAATTGATCAATAATATCATATTTAATATTTCCATTTATACTTCTTGTTCATACAAAAGATGACATATGTGTATCTACTAGGGGTGTAAATCAGGCGGGTTCGGTCGGGTTGAGAGGTTGTCCAAGCCTAGTTCAAGTTGTGTTGAGACCTGCCCAGGCCCACCCAAGCCCGAATTGTAACTCGAGGTTGCATGCCCACGCCCGACCCGAGTTAAACTCGAATTGCCTTAGTTGCCTGAATTGTTCAAATTGTAAATGAATTTCAATATTTTTTTTGCAACTACATTATTAAATTATTAAAATTTGACTCTATTTATATTTTTTTTTATATAGAAATCATTAATACCATCAAAACAAATAATTTATATAATGTAAGAGATATGCCGCTATAGTAGTCTTTATAATTTATTAGTAAAAATAAAAAAAATGTAAGATTTTATATTATTTGTATATATAATATATATTCAATATGATTTAATAATATAAATTACTTTAATATCATGTAATGACTAATAATTTATATGTATATTTAATATTTTTATATATCTATATATGTATAATTCGGGTTTCGGGTTGCTCGGGTTGTTTGAAGTTTTTGCCCAAGTCCGCTTAAATTTAATTTGGGCTTCTGAATTTTTGGCCAAACCCGTATCGAATTTGAAAATATCTTGCCCAAGTCCTAAAAAAATTCAGGCTGAATTCGGGTTGCTTGGGTTGAGCTCACCCAAGTTGCACCACTAGTACTTACATTCGTAAATCCTAAATCCTGAATCTATAGCATATGACATGTGTACATGAATTGAAATAAAAATAGAATCAAGTAATTTTATGTCCTTATGGTTGTGTCTTTCAAAATCAATGCTTGGGTACAACAAAAAGGAGTTCAACTCAATACAGTTAAGCCCAAGGCTTGTACAAAATAATTACATCAAAAGAAATAAAAAGAAACTCATGGCTTCAAGTCCTCCCAAGCTATGTCTTTGGTGGAGGCATATCACTAGCACCTGAAAGTTATTTTTCACATAGGGTGAGCTAAAACTCAGTAATGATATTTTAACACAATGTATAAATCTTAACGAAGTCATAAGATGAATGCATATGCATGCCCTTTGTCAAACATTTCACATTTCCATCTCAAAATAATGTAATGCTTGGATTATATATCAATTCATGAAAAATATCCTTTTATATTAGAAAATAAGGCAGTGGATACAAAACACCAGGAATCTCTAGGTACGTGTCTGTCAATAGGCTATACAAGTACTACTAAAGCCATTTTACCGGTACTAACCAAAAGGATCGGCACTTAACTGTGCAGGTTTCTGGACTTTTATCAAGGACACACAGGCCAACATAATAACTACAACCGCACCCCCTAACCAAATTCACTAAGGTATTCACCATTTTTTCTCAAAACAATACATTTTCAATGCTTAAGTATGAAACAATGCTCAATGCAAGATGTATGAGTAATTAGTTTCAATTCATCTAGCCCTCATTTAATTTCTACAACAATCAAAGATATCCTCCACCGATAGTCCAAAACAGATATTCCTATTCAACAGATGATTTCCAATAAAAAAATATAATCTCATCATTTTCAAAATGCGAGCGACATTGCATATCTAACTCCACTGTCATTATCAATAGATACATTCATTTTATCCTTTAAAAACCCAATATCTTTTCCCTTTATTTTCATAAATCAAATATCAATGATTTTTTATCAAAACCACCTTTACTTTCAAAATCATATTTAAGTAAAGAAATTCTAAGATTTCAAAATATCTCAACCAAAAACACATCCCCACAACATTTCTCAAGAACCCATTTGAAAACCCCTCTTTTACATTTCAAAAATAAAATCCTAGGTTTAACCCGAAATCCCCAAATCACTAAATCCTTTCAATGTGCGAATAACTAGGCTAAAAATTAGACCAAAGGTTGAAGAAATCCCTACCTCAAGAGTAGAAGAAGAAAGGAGCAACGGTTGAAGTTTGGCGGAGCCGAAAATGATATCCTCTCCAATTAAAACAAAGCTTTCTATGGGCTTTACATTTTTCTTCAAGGAGCTAGGGTGGAGAAATCAATGGATGAGGGAATATTTGAGGTTTTAAGGAAAGAACTAGAAAGTGAAGAAGTTAGGGTTTTAGAATGTTTTAGAGAGAGAGAGAGAGAGGGTGAAAAACTAATAAAATCTCCATTTTCTCGATCCGACATACACATAAACCGCTCGAGCGACCAAAACACCACTCAAGCATCAGACACAATAAGTGACACCGCTTGAGAGACCAAAACGCCGCTCGAGTGCACAATGACCCTCTCCTAAAAATTCGGACCTGTAAAAGACAGCTCGAGCACAAGAAACACCGCTCGAGTTAAGACACCCTACTTCTAGAAGTTTTGCAAACCTGTAAAAATACTAGAAGATCTCAAAGACCGCTCGAGCGACCAAAACACTGCCCAAGCGAATAAGAAGAAAACTGAACAACAACTCTTCTGAAAAACTAACTCCCAACATGTTTCAAACACAACAATAACTCCTAGACAACCAAACACAACTAACAACAAAATGAAAATGGTATGAATAACAATTAAGGTTACAGAAACTTGAATCTAAGAGCATGAAATGGGTCGGGTCTAAATCGGAACTGTTATAATGTCACTATGATTATGATAAGATTTTGGCTTAATCATGTTTTAAGTAATGATTTAAATTAAATAATTTGAGGGCGTTACAGCCACGACCATCATCAATCTCACCACCGTTGCTTCTCCGCTGCTGATCTCTAGATCTCTCTCATGACTAATTGAAGGTTGTTGGTCGAATAGCAAAGCGCACAACGAAATTGGTTCTTATTCGCGTCATGTTTGTCATTGAAGCAAGAAGCGATGGTTTTAATGGAGAAAGAGAGAGAGAGAGAGAGAGAGAGAGAGAGAAGGAAAATGTTTGTGATGAGGTTAAAGATAAGTAATCATCGATGTGAAATCTGAGGCCGATAAAGGTTGTTGCGAAAGTTACAGTGGAATACACAAAGCCTCTGAGTCGGGCGATGGAGGACTTTGTAGACTATTTTGTCGCACCCACTTTCGATTCAGTTGATTCGCTCAAACTCTGAGAAATTCAGTGGCGGTGGAGCACTGCTATAGCCGGAATTGAGTTCGAAGACGATGGAAAAACAGCAAGGGTGAGAAGATACTCATGGGACCTAATGGATCCACCATCAACGTCAGAAAAACTATAAGCGTGGTTACCCTTCTCTGCTTCAATAAGATGATCCCTAAATCAGATCATCGTCATCAAAACCTATGGTTTCTAAGCTCTTTTATTCAAGCTTTGAAGATCCGATTCGCATCTTGGCTTGGCAAACACTGTAAGGTCTGTGAGAGAGAGGTGTTTGATTTCTTCTTCTTCTTCTCTCTCACAAGGCAATTGTTGTTTGCAGCCATGGAGGACTCACATTCTCTCGCCAATTCATACACTGATCTGAGTCTATTTCTGTATAATTTTTAACATATACAGTATATGTTTCATGTTTCTTGATCTAATTTGTGAGATTTGTAAGGGTTGTGTGATTGTTTCTCTTTCTGTTTCTCTCTCTACTCTCTGACTACATTACGAAATTTCGTTTGCCATCGCCGCCTATTTAATTTGCACAGATAGGATGATCTGTGGACTTGATTTGTCTAAATCAAATAGTATAGGATGAATGAATGTTATTGTTATGGAAGTTTCAACAAATAGAGAGAAAGAACAAGAGAGAGAAAGAGAGAAAGATTTGAATAGATAGTGGCTTGGTGTATTTCACCAAATCAATCTCTCATCTCTCTCTATATGAGAATTTGATTTGAACAAAGAAAAAAATTTGAACATATCAATCTCTCTATGTGTATATATATCACAATTTAAACAGATAAAAAAAATAAATAGATATGAAAAAAATAAGCTTGTGAAATTGAATAGATAGGGGCAAAATTTCATCAAATAGGGAAAAATTAAACAGATAGTCAAAAAATTTGAACAAATAGAAAATAATTTAAACATATAGATATAAATTTGAATAGATAATTAAAAAAAAGTCAACATATATAAAAAAAAGTCAAGAAATAAATTAATGAAGTAAAATTAGAAACAAAATGCCTTTAGACCATCTCCAACGGTGAATCAGATTGGTCACCATATTTAAATTTGATGAAAAAGGACCACTTTTATTTCTTCAACGATTTCACTAAAATGATATCAAATTGAGAACGAGACAAAACTTTCACCAAAATGAGGAGCTGGATTAGATTTCACCAAAATATTGTGTGTTTACGTTGGAGGTGGGTCCCACCGGACAACCAGCCGGACGTCTGGCCGATTGTTCCACCGGTCGTCCGTTGTATACAAAAAATGCATAGCTGTTGTGCAGTGCTTCAACAGTTGGTTAGCCTGCGAACTGCTTCACAATTAGGTTGTTTTAGTGGCACTAACAATAATCAAAATGCAACATGGAAAAGTCACATGGTATATAGATTTAAATTTGTATCAAATATAGTCGTTCTGCACCTGTAACTCCAATAAGTTACCGTTGGTGTTACAGAGTGTTACCCAAAAGACAACCCAAGAAGGGAATGGTGAATTAGATTTTTACAAATAAAAATAATAATACTCTAATAAAAAATATGACTAGCACAATAGATAAATATAGTTAATGAAATAAAAATAATTAAAACAAGTGTTCTAACAACTATGTCAATTAATGATTTTAGCATAATAAAAATATGAAATATAGCTATGGCAATTTAAATAAAATAAAGAGATAAGGGAGAGAGAGGCAAACAATTTTATAGTGGTTCGGCTTCAACTCGGCCTATGTCCACGCCTCAAGCTTCACTTAAGATTTTTCACTATTCTCTAGCGTCACAGGATACTAGCAACCTTTTCACAGATGGAGCAATCCTTTACAGATTTTACACAGGCTTTCTAAATCAAGAACACTGAGTGTACTATACTCTTACAAGGTTGAAAAGAATGTATTTTTGCTTTTACAGAAAGTTACAAGAATTATCTCTCAAAGATAGATATAAAAATAAAGCTCTGGTTTTTCTGTAAACCTCACACAGAAAAGATGGGCTTAAAACTATACGTCTTAGTATATAATTTCTAAAGAAGATGTAAACAAAAATTGAAGAACACTTCTCAGAGAATTTTTTAGAGAATATATGTAAGTGATTATAGATCAAAGAATATTTTTTGATTTTTTTTTTGTAACTTGTTTACATTAGAGGCTTTGGTATATATAATGAAACTTATAGCCGTTGTATTCATTTGAATTTATAGCCGTTTATAGTCGTTTATACCCGTTATATTCATTTGAATTTATAGCCGTTGTATTCATTTGAATATCTTCCATTCCATTATTACTAATTTGAATATCTTCCACTTGAACCTTTTGGCCTGCTGCTGTGCTGGGCTATTTGAACCTTTTGGCCTGCTGCTGTGCTGGGCTGTTTGAACCTTTTGTTTTGGGTTGTTTGAACCTCTGGTTTGGGCATTATTTTTGGGTTGAAATGAACTTTTGAGTTAAGCAAATATTAAATACATTCAAACAATATTTCGGATAAAAGTTTAGGTGAGAAATAATGGGACAAAATGAATTTTGGTTCTATTAAAACATAATTAAATAAATCATCAAAATAAATTTTGGATTCTATTTTTCTCTTCCAAATAAATTAAATAAATCATTAAAATAAATAAGTCTAACAATCTCCCCCTTTTTGATGATGGCATACAATGATGTTTTGATTTGATTTGGGAGTAAGAAAAGCTCCCCCTCAAGTCATGCTCCCTGAATTCATTTCTAAATGCATAGGTTAGCACATGTGTAATAAATAAGCTTTAAGTAGAGACATGATATGAGATTAAGATATCAAAATATAAATACATAACATCAGATTAGTTTGAAAATAATACCATAATTTGAAAATAATACCATAATACATAACATCTTAACATCATAAGTTTTCTCCCCCTGTGACATTATCAAAAGGAAATCATGGCTCAGAATCTGAAGGAGGAGGAGGAAAATGATAGTGATAAATGGCATCAAAAACAGATAATCAAAACATATACATACATACATACATACATACATACATACATACATACACACACACACACATATATATATATATATATGTATATGATTTGCGCGCCTCTTTCGTGTCTGTCGAAAATCGCGTTGCACACGCGTTCTCGCTTTTGTGTCAGCCGATCGACAAAAACAAGATGGGTCAATCAAGATGGCTCTCTCTCCCTCTTGTCTTATTCTCCTCCGTCTTCTTCTTAAGCACTTTCTTTGCCTTTTTCTTCCTCATTCGCTTCCATCCCTTTCGTCTTCTGCGTGAGAGAGATAGAACAGAGAGACTGAGCTGAGCAGAAAGGCTGCCAAAAACGACCCTCCTTTCTATTACATCTCTCTCTCCTACTGCATGGCCTCGTCCTGTCCCCTTACTCTCTTTCTGGACCTGAATGATCCTGTAAGCGCTGTTGGGCCGAGTGCCCCGGCTCCTACTCTTCCCAACCTTCCTATGATGTCGATTGAGCAAATAATGACAGCTCAATTAGACATTGAAGCCAATCATTTCACACTGACGTCCTGTATGGAGACGGTGACTGCAGTCACAAAATTAGCTCACCGATTGCAGAACAGGACGAGTAAGCTCCATCAGGTCAATGCCCAACTCCCTCTACTCCAGTGCATGTACAAGGATGCGCGAGCAGAGATAGACGCACTGAAGGCCGAAAATAAAGAGCTTAAACGGAAGACTACCTCCATGGCTCGATTTGGAGCAACGTCGTTCTTGGCTTTTAATAGTCGATGGGGAGTGCTCGCTCCCGACGAAAGCCCGGGGGCAGGGACGTCAAGCGTCGCCCAAGATAATAAAAAGAAGAAGAGAGTGGTGGAAGAGGTGAGTAAGTAAGATCGGCTTATGGCCGTAAAAAAAATGAAGGGTTTTTTTTTTTTTTTTTAATGTAAATATGTTTATTTTGATCGGCGTATGGCCGTAAAAAATGAAGGATGTTTTTTTTATGTAAATATTTTTATTTTTATTTGTTTTTGTTTTTGTTTTAATGTTTAGGTACTGAAAAATGAAATTGAAAAGCAGAAAAAAATTAAGAAAATTAAGCCCAAACAAAAAATAATAATGAGAAAAAAATAAAAATAAAAGAAATTAAGCCTAATAGCAAAATGAAAAAAAATAAAATAATACCAGCAGAAATTAAACTTAATGGGACATTGGTGTTGCTGGAATGGTAATGCAAAAAAAATACCATGAGGGTTTAAAAAAAATTAATGTATGCAAAGTTAATTTTACCTCGAGATGTAGAATCCAAAAAAAATTACACAGTTGAGAATAACAAACTATTAAGGAGAATAAATGAATGAAGGACTTGAGAGCATTCAACTGATATAAATGTTTTTGTATTAATGTAGCAATACACATATATCATTTTAACAAAAAATAAAAAAATCAAGTTTCATAGTCATAACAAAACTTTTTAAGTAAAAATCGACATTCCAAGCTCGCCACGAATAAAATTGAAGCGATCCTCGCTTAGGAATTTTGTGAAAATATCCGCCAATTGCTTGTCGGTGTTTACAAATTCAAGTACAATATTCCCTTTTTGAACATGATCTCTTAAAAAATAATGTCGAATTTCAATATGTTTTGTTCGTGAGTGTTGAATCGGATTTTTGCTTAAATTGATGGCACTAGTATTATCACATTTAATAGGGATATGATCATAATGCAAATTAAAGTTCTCCAATTGTTGTTTCATCCAAAGTATTTGGGCATAACAACTTCCAGAAGCTATATATTCAGCTTCAGCCGTTGATAAAGCAAGAAAATTTCGCTTTTTGCTAAACCAAGATACTAATGAGTTACCAAGAAAGTGACAAGTGCCACTGGTGCTTTTTCTATTAAGTTTGCATCCGGCAAAGTCGGTATCCGGCAAAGTCGACATCCGAGTAACTAATTAAATCAAATGCAATACCTTTAGGATAAAATAGTCCCAAATTTTGAGTGCCAACAAGATATTTCAAAATTCTTTTAACAGTACTGAGATGTGATTTTTTAGGATTTGATTGATATCTAGCACACATACAAACACTAAACATAATATCGGGTCTACTTGCAGTTAAATAAAGAAGTGAGCTGATCATACCTCGATATTTTGTTTGATCAATGGACTTACCTTTTTCGTCATTGTCTAGCTTAATGGATGTGCCCA